TCTCTCTCTCTCTCCCCCTCTCCCTCTCTCTCTCCCCCTCTCCCTCTCCCTCTCTCCTAGGGCTTGAATTCAGGGCCTAGGCATTGGCCTTGAGCCGTGTGTGTGTGTGTGTGTGTGTGTGTGTGTGTGTGTGTGTGTGTGTGTGTGTGTGTGTGTGTGTCTCTCTCTCTCTCTCTCTCTCTCCCCCTCTCCCTCTCTCTCTCCCCCTCTCCCTCTCCCTCTCTCCTAGGGCTTGAATTCAGGGCCTAGGCATTGGCCTTGAGCGATCTTGCTCAAGGCCAGCCCTCTACCACTTGAGCCACAGTTTCCCTTGGGCATTTTTCGTAGTTAATTGGAGATAAGACTCACAAGTTTTCCTACTCAGGCTGGTTTTGATACACAGCCTCCTGAGTAGCTAGGATTACAGGTGTAAGCTACCGATACCCTTCTTGTTCTTCTTTTTTAAATTGCAGTTTCCTAACAACAGAGGGAAGGAAACACTTAGGCCCAGGAAGATATACCATCAGAGTGACCTCTATAAAGTGAAAGATTTTATTACCATTTTTGTGTTCCTAATACATGGTAGGATCTGTGAGTAAAACAGACTTACAAATTTGTTTTAATCTAAGCACTAACCTCCAAATAAAACAGACGCTGCTGGACGATGTGGGGGTTTCTCAGGGCTCCGGTCAACCGAGAAGTTCGGTGCACCCTTGTGAGAAGCCCATCTCTACCGAGAGCTGGTTTTTGTGTGTTTGATTTTTTAAGCAGAGAAAAGAGCGAATAAACAGATATTCTGCTCTTTAGATGACAATGTGTTTTACTTCCCAGAGGTTAGTGATCCACACAGAGAAAATTGTCCCCAGAAATTTAAGATGATAGCTACCAGATTATCCAGGCAGCCTGTCAGGGGGTGTTGAACAACATGGTCATAATTTGGTTAAGGATCAGAAGGTGCTGAATATGCTCAATCGTAGCTTATTGCACTATCCACAGGAAGGTTTCAATTCTTCACTGTTGTGTCTTTGGCATAATGTCTACTCTCTGTGGCAGAGTGTTTTCTGTCAACACCATAGAATTAGAGATGGGCAGACACACCATCACGTGTATTTCCTTACAAACTCTGTATAGAGTTCTTTACCAATGATTGCCACAGTCTGAAAATTATGAAAAGGGAAAAAAAAAAAAAGTTCTGCCCATGCTGTTTGTGTGAGGAAAGGGATCTTGGCATGCGCACGCGCACACACGCACACCCTGCTTTTCCCATTGCAGGTGGACAGTATCTGACAGTATCTGCAGCCAAAGCCCCAGGGGGAAAAGCCGCTCGCTTGGTACTACCTCTGGGCCACCTCCTGCATTCAGGGGACCTGTGCCTGTCGTTCAGGCACAAGGTGACTGGGCTGCATTCCGGCACACTGCAGGTGTTTGTGAGAAAACACGGTGCTCACGGGGCAGCCTTGTGGGGAAGAAACGGAGGCCATGGCTGGAGGCAGACACACATCACCTTGCGAGGGGCTGACATCAAGAGCGTAAGTAGTCCATGAAAGGAGGCAGCGCCCGGGAGGGTTTCCTTTCATAGGAGAGCCCTGGCCTGTGAGTTGGAAGAAGCCTTGCTCTGTGAGTTCAGGCACAGGCAGAGGTTCATGGGATTTTCTGGGCATGATGACTTCATCCATTGCCTCATCTGCCTTCATTGCAACCTTTGACTTCCCCCTTCCCCCCCCCCTTCTCTCTATTGAAGGCCCATTGCAATAGAAATCAAATTTAGAAATAGAGGGGTTTAAAACAATTGACAGGAAGTTCAAAGGGAGTGGGTGGTATGCTTCCTTGTGCCTGCATTTCTTTTTCCTTTGCTTCCTTTATCTTCCTGCTTTTACCATCATACATTATTGTGGAGAAGGCGATTTTTTGTTTTAAATGTTTCTATAAAGTCCATTTCCTCACCTTCTTCGGAGATCATAGCTAAGCAGCCCCCGGTAGGGGGACCCCGTATGGGAAGAGGAAAAGCTTTGATTGAACGGATACATCTTATTTTCAATAATAAAATAGTGATCTGTAGCAAGGAAATGATCTAGGAGGTGGCGCCAAATAATGATTGCATTTGGAAACCTGTTGTCTTTATGTCGATGATTCTAGAACTTTTCCTACAAAGAAGCATCTGTGTTTGTTGACATAGTTTCTGGAAACTGAGAAACAGAGAGAGAGAGACTCCATTAGTACAGCTTTTAATAGAGCACCTGGGTTTTGTTTTACCCTTTGATTTAAAAAAAACATAGGCTTCCCCCCTTACTATTAATATTCCTTGGGGGAATAAGAGGAGTTTAATAAATCATTTCAGACCATAATACTGAAAAGTTCACCTTGTTTTAAAATGGCCCAAGGATGTTCTGCGGAAGATGCAATATAAGAGTAGTGGAAACATTTGGTTTTTACATAGGTTAAATAGACAGCATGAGTGTTTGAGTTGGTTTCATTTGTGACAATGAGTAAATCTATATTAATCCAGAAGAAGAATTAAGAAATCTCTTAACGGAGGCTGTATGACTATGATCATCTCCATCTTCGGCTCTCTATTTCTGTGCTCTTACATTCTCTCCCAGCCTACTTCCTTCTCTTTGGTTATCTTTGGCAAAAGTGTCCACTTCATGGCCACTTCTAATTCATCCAGAGTTTAGCATGGCTTTTTTTTTTGGTGTCTTATTTTTATTTCTGAATAGTCTTAGTATCTTCAAGTAGTTATACCAAGGAGCTGCCATTCGCCAAAGCAGTTTCTGAATATAGTGCTTCTTGATCAATGTCACCCCTTTCAACTTTCTCACCCACCCCTCCCAACCCACCCCCTTCCTTTACATATCTTAATTTTAGGTGCTATATTAACAATTTTTGCCATTTAACCAGAGCAGTTTATGTGTACAGTGCAGAATGGCTTTTGAAAGAGTGACTCATTAAGGGTATTGTGGTTGAGGAACAAATTGTTGCTGATAATTTAAATCTCGAAAGACAAGTCCCTGGCGCCACTGGCAAATGTGCTCTGATCACTTCTCCTGTCCACGAAGTGGAATATTTAGCGTTGGGGAAGGGCCGCCTTTTCCTTTGTTAATGAGCAGGCATGGGGAAGGGAAAGAGGAGGCTTGACTGGTGTGTGCGTTCTCTCCCTAGGTCATCTTCAAAGGTGAAAAGAGGCGTGGTCACACTGGGGAGATTGGATTGGATGATGTGAGCTTGAAAAAAGGCCACTGCTCAGAAGAACGCTAAACAGCTCCAGAACTAGCAATGAACTCTATGTTGCTCCCTCTTCTTTTTCCAATGCTCACCTTCTCCTCTCTCTTCCCTCTTATCAGGCCCTGGGGAAGAGTGGGTCAGTGGGTCAGGAGGAAGGCTGGATGGTGAGCCTCATCTCATTGTCCGGCTTTTGTGCAATCCCAATGGACAGTGACACCCCCTCCCCACCCTTCCCATATAGGGACATTAACCACGTCCAGGCCATGTGGGGTGTTGCCTTCCATGTTGTGTTTCCTTTAGGAAGGCCTTTGATGTGCATGATGACCTATACCGGTCCTTCATCCTGGTTTGTTATTCATAGCAAATTATGGGAGAAGTGTTCAGAAGGAATCTGTGCAAATAGCCATTGCTATCTGTTTAGTGTTGTACCAAGAGTAGTGTTGACTTTAAGATAGGATGTACAGTGCACTTGTGAGACTGATCTGTTCTCCTCATGGCTGGCCTGACCTGAACTTTGACTTTTACTGCCATTCACTTTATAAAGGAAGGGTGTGTATAACATATCAAAATGCATTTACTCCTGTTACCTGTTATTTTTTTTCAAAGACAAATTATGTAGAATGGGCATGGAATCCCCCGTTAGTATTACAGTGTTTTGTGTAAGTGTGCTATTAATATTAAGTATTTACGTGTTCCTAATATTTACAGACGCTAGTTGCAAGGTAAAAGGCAGCTTGTGATTGCTTGAGGTAAAAATTCCATGGTGAAATCTCATCCAGTCCCACGACTTCATGTTGGCAGCAGGAGAGAACCAGCAGAGGTGTCAGCTTGTAGCTTTGGAATGATTAATTTTGTTTAACTGGCCTTGAGTATGTTATCTACCCAGGAAAGTAAATTATTTCAGGAGACAAGAGACTGTAGTTAATACAGAAACCCGCCATTATTTCATGTTATACTTCCACACCAACAGCTTGCAGGATCACAACATGGCTCTCCATCTGATAATCTCTAAGCAGCTTTGTAAATGTTGTGGTTGTTTCAGAAGAAAGATCCTATCTATGGAGGCCAGGTGAGGGGAAGTATAGCCGGAGTTGCACTAGAACAATTGGCACTCAATTTTCAATTGCACAAGTTTCAGCCAGTGAAGCTCCCAACTTAGACGCTGTGTCCAGTTAGAAGATGAAGCAGGCCCCGTACGTAGAGGCACTGGATGTATTGGGCTAAGAGTCCCACACTCAACTTCTGTCTGTGCACCCCAACTCTGTATTCTCCTCGCACATTTTGCTTTTCTATTTAAAAAAAAAAAAGACACAGCTTTTTAAAAAAGTGACTCCTTAGGGCTTTTCTATATTTCTGATTAAGTAATCCAAACCATTTTCTGCTGTTTTTGCCAGGAATGACAAAGCTGATTAAAGGGTTGGAAAAAAAGATCTATGATGAAAAATTAAAGGAACTGGGATTATTCAGCCTGGAGAAAAGAAGACTGAGGGGCAAAGCGTTGATGGTTTTCGAGTATATGAAGGGTTGGCACAGGGGCCATGGCCACCGTCTGTTCTCAGTGTGTACTGACAACAGAACAAGAGGAAACAGGCCTAGACTAGAGGGTGAGGAAGCATTTCCTGGTATGGACAGTTGTTAAATTAAAATCCTTTACTAAGAAAAGTGAAGATCCAGCTTTCCCTCTGCTTTAACTATCTATAATCTTATTTAAAACATGCTTACCTCAAGGTAAAGTAAAAGGTTACAAAATCCTCTAGATGTTTTGATCCTGTGACCCTGTGATCAATATGTAATGCAAGTCCTCAGAACTAAGTAATTTTTGGTAGACTCTAAATTAGGCATTTCCCCTTTGACCTGCTAGTGGAAAAGCAGCAAAAAGGGAAAATGCCAACTCGTTAAAAATGTCTCTTCCTTTATGGCAAACCTAGCAGTATTAAAAGGTAAAGTCAATAGTAAAAATAAATGTTAAAACTCAGCCGACCCCCGAGCTATTTTTTTCTACAGAGGTTGTGATGGACAGGTTTTGAGTATCTTAGTAATGGCCTAAGTGAAGGAGATGTTAAAAACTATTTTCCCCCTTAGTAAAGGTGTAAACCTTTTGTTGGCTCTAGAGATCATGTTAAGATACCCATCTCCATTTCTATCTACCAAGGAACAGAGAGGAGAGAAAATTTTGTCAGGTGCATTCTCTCTGCTTTGTGTATGATGTGTTACCTTGACTACTGCAAAGTGTCTGTCATTCACAATAGCCCTGGACTGTCCCTTTACTTCAATCCCATCAGTCCTTAACTAGAGTCTCCCAAAGTCCACAAAGAAATAAGGCACGGGGAAGGTCCTTTGTCATTTTGCTTGCTAGAGGCAAAGCTAAAGGAGGAATATAAATCATTGAGCCTTTGAATACAGGCCAGCAAATATGGTCTTAGGTCCGTGTTTAATGACTCATTTCCTTTTTGGTCATATAACTGCACAGCTGAAGCTGGAAGAGGAAAAGAATTGAAAATTTCCCTTGTAAGGTGCCAATAATGCATTGCACTACACTGATGGAGGACGTTATCCAAAGTACTGTATAACACCATACTTATTATTTAATGTTTTCTAAAGTGAAAGATGTTAGTGGTTTTCCAAATGGCCAAAATAAAAACAACTCTTTGTAAATAAAAACTCTGTTGATAAAGTCGTTGTCTGTTGTGTGTATGTGCATGTGCCAGGAAGAGAGGCGGATGGACCTCAAGTACAATCCACCTCCACTTCATCACATTACTTTTATAATTTTATTATAGACATTTGCTTCAAGTTCTTTTATGGAAAGGCAAGATCATTCATAAGTAAAATATACAAATATGTATTCATTATAGAGGAAAAGCCTTTTACTAATGATTGTGTTCAATTATAACATTGTATTTACACTCCAGTACCTTTTCTTGACGGAAAAAAAAACCATCAAGAAATCATAGAAGAATAGAACTTAGTCCTTATCTGAACTAGAAAGAATTCATTCAATGCCTTCTTCACAACTGAGAGCTCTTATTGGCCAGGGGACTCCAATCTTGAATAAATAAATAAAGTTAAAAGAAATCTTAACCTCAAGGATTCTTCCTAATCATCCCTCAGAGATCTGAGAAAGTTGAGGTTTTCAGAGTACGGTAAGACATTAAACTCTGCTAAAGCCCATGTGAGGTGGGAAAATCAGGTAAGTATGAGCTTCCAGGGGGACGTGATTGATTTTCTAAGAGATTTTTGAGCATTAAGTTGCTGACAGTATAGGTCCCCACCCTGGGGCCTGGGCTCTATGAGTTAATGCCCATCTTCATTTTGTAGATTAGCCCCTCCTCTGAATCTTCTTGCTTTAAGGAATATGTTATCTAAAGTGACTCCCAACTGGGCTAGTTTTAGCCCTCAAGGGACATTTGGCGATACTTCGAAGCAGTTTTGGTTATTACCATTTGGGCAGTACTGGCATCTACTTGGGTAGAATGTTATATCTTGTTTTAAAATAAAAGTTCTATAAAGCACAGGACAGTTCCACATAATCGTGTTCTTACCAAGAGTTTCAATAGTGCCAACACTGAGAAAAGTTCATCTAAGTCAATGCTTTCCCAAGAGTGACAGAGTCTCTAGAACAGCTCCCACAGGCTCACAGGTTAGAGACTTGATCTCCAGCTTGGTGTTATGGGGAGTGGGGAAAACAAAGAGATGAGGCCTTATTTGAGGTTTGATATGAAGAGGATACTTGGAGTCCTTCCTGGCTCGCTTTTCACCACTTCCTGCCTGCCTTGGACAGGGGGAGGCATCTCTGCTCCACCACATGCTCTCTCCTGATTTGCTGCCTCACCACGAGCCCAAAAGCAAACCATGAGCCAATGCACTTTTCCTCTTTTTACAAAGCTGATCATCTCAGAGATTTTGTTAGGGTAATGAAAAGCTAATAAATACACAACATTTAGTTCCCCTAACCAGCAACATCGATACGGGGGAATGTGTTAGAAATATAAATCCTTGGCTTCCATGTTTGTCTTAGAAGATGAGAAACTCCAGGTAGGGCCCAGCAAACCTGTCGTATAACCAACTCCACAGTGCAAGATTAAGTCTCCTTGTTATTTCTATGTTCTAACACCCCTTTGACTTGCGCAAGAGCAAGTTCCAGGACCCTATTATCACCACTTCACACTGAATTTCAACACCATTCTTCTACCCCAATTGCCCCCTGGAAAACTTGTTCTGCCACTGAAATAGTTCTAACCAACCCCTTCACAAACATTGTGGATAACAGGTTTTTTTAAATTTAAAGTGAGAAGAGTCAGCTCTTCATGATGGAAGCAGGTAACCAGTCATGCTCAAGTCATTTTGTCTCTTTGGGCAGGTAAGAGCCATTGATGCCAAGTAGAGAGGTTTTTTTTATAGTGTGGGCATTTTGGCAAGCTCTTTCAAATCTGTTATTACACACACATGTGCCACTTGTGGGACTTGAACTCAGGGCCTGGGCCTCTTGGTGCTCACTTCAGCCACAGTGTCACTTTGGGTTTTTGAGTGGTTAAATGGCGATAAGAGTCTCTGTCCAGGCTGGCTTTGAACCGCCATCCTCAGATCTCATTCTCCTGGTAGGATTATAGGTGTGAGCAACTGGTACCTGGTTATTACATAGTTCTAAAAGATTTTAAAACAACAACAACAGGGGCTGGGAAGGTGACTCAGTGGTAGAGCGCTTGCCTTGCATGCCTGAGGCCCTGGGTTCGATTCCTCAGCACCACATAAGCAAAAAGAAAAAAAGCCAGAAGTGGCACTGTGGCTCAGGTGGTAGAGTGCTATCCTTGAGCTGAAGAGCTGAGGGACAGCACCCAGGCCCAGAGTTCAGGCCCCACGACTGGACCCAAAAAAGTAAATAAATAAAACAACAACAACAATAAAACCCCTTGGGTCTTGCAGGGTGGAAGTCACTGAATTATTTGAAGAGCAGTGGCTGAGAGGCAAGGAGAAGCTAGGAAGACTGAGCCACAAACAGGGAATACAAATAGGACACAAACGCACAGCTGCCAGTTGTATGCTTGGCTTTGTTTGTCAGCATGGCCAGAGCCCCAGCAACAAACACCACCTGTGCTTCTCGCTCCCACCTCCCGCCAGCTGAAGCCAATTACATAGCAAGGCTCCTACGTGATTCCCCGTTCCATCCAGGTTTGCAGTGTACTCCTTTATTAGAGTACAAAGATTTTTCTACCCAGTTTGGCTTTCTCCGATGTATGGGTCCCTGTGAAACAAACCTGCCCCCATCCTGCAGGTCCTCCGAGCCAGGCCCTAGAATCAGCACCTTGAGCATCACCTGGGAGCTTGTTAAAAATGCAGATTCTCTGGTCCATCCCAGACCTCAGAAATCAATCTCTGAAGGTGGGGCCCACCCTATGAGCAGCCGTCTAGCAACGCTGCTGCTGCTGCTGTTGGTGGTGCTACTGTTAGTTTGAGAACCACACTTTGGAGAAGGCGTTTTTGCATCTCAGACTCTCACCAAAGTGCCCTGTCTCCTGCCTCAGTTTCCTGAGCAGCTCTCAGTACCAGCACTGCTGAAGCTACTGTGCAACACCTAAAGGTAAGAGATCTGAGGCGTTCAATGCACTTTGGGGCCAACTCAGAATTAGTAGAACTCAGCTTGATGTTCTTTTATGATGCATAATGACGCTTTGCTTTTACTGAAAATTTGCAATTGACCACGCGCTCTCCATGAGGCTTCATTTAGCCCTCACCGAGATCCAGGGCTATAGATATAAGTGAGTGTGTGAACACTCACCTGAGTCTCTAAAGGGCACAATCACAAGAGACTGGGCCGATCTTGGAACCCAAAGGCACAATTGCTAAGGGGTTGGATTGCTGTTTTCACAACTAGTTACAAGAGGTTTCAAATACAGCTAACTGCCCCCCCCGAAATGTTTTCAACCTTAGACAAAGTGAGTTACAGACACCTCTAACCTACAGGTTTTTTTAATGCCTAATCATAATGGTAGCAACTATTGGGAGACTGAGAAAATGCCAAATATGGCAAATTGGTAACACTTGGTGGATGTGGATGAAGGATCTTTGACTTTTGCAGTGACTTTTCTGAAAAATGGAAAATTACCAACACTTAACCTCTGAGTCCAAGTAGATTAGATCTACTTTTTCCCCTGTATTCTGTTTTTAGGCCTTCTGTGAATCAATTCATAAATTGACGAGACTGTATCTATGCCTGCCATGTGAGAAAATAGGGAACAGATGACAGATGAAGATGCACGTTTGTTTTCATTTTGCAGTAAAGCGTCCTCATTTATGCGAATATGCTTCCCGGGGTCAATAATTCTCTGTCAAAAGGACATTTGTAGGCCTGGCATGGTGGCTCACACCTGTACCATAATCCAGGCTAGTCAAGAGGTAGAGGTTTTGGGAGACTTTTGGTTTAATACCAGCCCAGGCTGGAAGTTAGGTGGAAGCCCATCTTGATAGCTGGATGTGGTGGTGGACATGTGT